TAATAAATAAAAGAAATAATAAAAATAATAAAAATAACATAAATAATATAAATAACAAAAATAACAATTGTAACGTTAATCAGATCTACAAAATTATTTGATTACATAATGATTGATCTACTAATTAATCATCTGATTTTTAAATCACGTGATTTTTACTGCGCCATAATCTTCGTTATCACCGGCAAAGAGAAGGTGATATCCTGGCAAGGAGAAGGTAACACTTAATGAGAAAAGATTTTTTTCGTGAGCTCATTTTATTTTAGTACGCGCTCCTTTAACTTAAATATTAATACCCTACAAGAGAATGACTTTTAATGAGACTGGCAAGTATCTGGATTTCTTGGAATATGTAGTCATAGCCTTTGGTTATCATTTTTAAAAAAGTTATAATATTTTGTGTCTTAGTCTGTTAGGTCCGTTAGGTCCGTTGCAAAAGTTGCAAAAAATTTTGAAAAAGAAAAAAAGAAATCTTGTAAATGCATGAGACATGACAGTTAATGATACTGCAGTTAACCAATCCGAGCTTGATTTATTAAGACAGTGCAACACTGAGCTTGAGGCTGAGCTTGAGATAGATCGTAAAAAAATTGACAAGCTTAAGAAGACAATTGGTGGCCTATCCTCTGAGAATTTTGATCTTAAACGTGAGGTAGCGAAACTCAGGAAGGAATATGGGATCAGAATTAAGAAGCAAGAGCGAAAAAATGCAGAACTTGAGGATAGACTTGCAAAAGTGGAACAGGGCTCTTCGGTGAAGGATGGGCAGGATTCTCTGGTAGTGGATGAACAGTCACAGAAGTTAGAGGAATCAGTTGTTGATGTGTCACCCTCAGGATTCTCAGCACCCATTAACGCAGATACCAAGGCAACCAAGGATGAAGAAATGGATGCTTGCTCCGCTTTCATGCTTGAGCAATATAAGAAGAGCATTGGTGAAAAAATAAGGCAGAGAAATAGGGAGAAGAAACTTGCCCTTCAGGGCAGACTTGGTTGCTTTAGTAACCCACTCTAGCGCGAATCAGCTGACTCTGATACTGTGTAGCGGAAACTGTTAATAATGTTGAAAAGTCGTATGAGCCAGAGATTGACAATTATACTTCCTCAGAAGCGAATTCCCAACTTTATCACGTGATATAAAACCCGTTAACAAAGTTAACAGGTTTTCCAAAAATTCGTATGAAGAAGAAGCCGTTACCAATACTTCACCTACCTTCTGCCCGGAGGTAGAGATAAAGGTAAATATAGAAAGACTGGAGAATGAAGAGAGGGTCTCTTTGAGACTATCAAATTCTTCTGATAGCTTACAACCGACCAAGAATAATGTGAATGGTTGGACTTTCTCGAACATAGCTACCGAATTTGTACAAAATTTGTTGTAGGTACTATTCTCACCAGACAGTCGACTTCAAGCTATAAAGTTTACTCCTCCTAGAACCTTAATTCCCAGATCAATAAGCATCAAAAAACTTGCCAATTCATTCTGCCAAGTGAATGTTGCAAGGGGTAAAACGATCATAGCAAAGCGAGCAGAAATTACAGCCTGGTATTTATTCTCCAAAAGGTTCGAAGAAAAAGTCGTGGAGCTTAGGTCTAATAATAAGAAGCTTACAGATCAGACTGCAAGAAAGCAGATCTATGATGATATGAAGTCATATTTCACAGGCATTTCAGATAGATATTTATGTGTAATGACCTGCAAAGCGAGAAAAATCAATAAGTTATTTGGGTATGAATATAATTCTGTAACTCTAAAAAAGATAAAAGCGTATGATTCAGCAGGTCACGTGTAGTGCTGACAAAATTTTAAAGCTTACTGAACACATCATAGAACAGGTCAATCGAAGACAATTACTAGTCGTATGAGTGAAACGAATGAAGAGATGCCAGATGATGATGGATATAATGAATCCAACTCTGATTATAACGAGCAGATCCATGAAGAACTAAGAATTTATTGGTTTAGGAAGGGCTTGTAGATAAATTTGTAAAAAACACATTTTGAAATTAGATTAAAGAATTGCCCTCTGACAACAAGATGTCATTCACTCTCTAATATGATGTTACATAATAAACGGAATGCTATAACTTTAAACGAAGAACTCATGTGCTCCGGAGAAGCTGAAATTGACTTTAGTCTCGATGATGAAATAGTTGACCACAAACCTGGTGATATTAAGGTATTCGATGACATTGACTTTAGTTTCGACTAAGAAATAATGGACAGTAAACCTGTTGACTCGAATCACCCAATCAACGCTTGATCGGAGGAGATCTCGGTATAAGCATAGCCTAGTCGAACAGGTCTGAGAAATATTATAAGAAATAGTATTAGAAATGTTCAAAGAAATGTTTATATAAATACTTCTTAAGACCTAAATAATGTAATGAATAGTTATAAATACTTATGAAAACTTATGAATGTTTCAGATTTAGTTTTCCTTTAGGACTACACTTGCGCAGTATCTTAGAATGTGTAGTGTATTCGTATCATTCGCTGTCATAATTAAATAAAGTACCATTTTTAGCGTGGTATAGTGTCCTGCTTTCATCATATTTTTAATCACCTGACTGACCTGAGAAAGGCCTCAGGAACCTGCTCAGAAAAAATTTATTAAGGAATAATTGTGCAATTCGCAGACAATTGTATAGACGTCATGTATCACGAGTAAAGTCTCCAATTCTTTGTATTTATTCTTCACATGCATTAATAAAAAATTTTTTCTTGGCAAAAATTCTGGGCCATTGGTCAGAATGCTTACATAATTACAATACTGCAAACGTGTGATTGGAAAACAACTGAATATATTGGTTTACAAATATGCAAGATAAGTATTACTTTAATATACAAATAAATCAAGATAAGCAAATATACAAATAAATTTACAAATATGCAGAATGTTCTTTTAGCTTTCCCATTTTGCAGAACTATGATTAATTTATATAATTTATACAAATAATTAATTAATAATGTTCTTTAAAATTATACGGTTATCCTACATTCTTTTTGCCTTTTCTTCCATTTTACGCTTGAACTCCTCTACAGGAATTAGCTCACCCGTGTCCTCCATAACTTCACAAAGTTTTTCTGGGTATATAAAATGATTTGTGAGGCCATCTATAAAATCTTTTTCCATATACCTTAGGCTTCGTTGCATTTCATTCCATTGATACATATTGCCAACTTTATCCAATAACCAGATGACGAATCCAGAATGATCTATAAATACTGGCTGGACACCAGTGATTCCAAATGTTTCATTGAGAAACTCAGTGTATTCTGCATCTATAGAGCCCAATGAATCTTTGTTTGTGACCTGGTAAAATCCGAACTGATTATTTTTATCTAACTGTTCACATAAGTAATCTGGCAATTTGTGCAATTCTGGCAGATAGCTTGATTTGCTTTGTTCTCATATTGATTGAGCATGTATTGATCGGAATACCAGGTTTCAATTTGGTTAAGTGGGTCCAGGGATTTGTTTCTGCACAATTCCCATAGTCCCACATCTCCTGACTTTGACATATCGTTCCATCTGGATTTTGAGGGAAAAGAAACAAATCGTTGTTCTTTCAAATTATAACTAAGGGAATTCTATCTGCTATTCTCAGGGCTATAACAGATGCTCCGTAAGAGACTTCCGTTATTCTTTTGCGATTTGTTATCCAGGACATGTTTATGCATGTTGGACGTATCATGAAGTTGTTAGTTAGTTCCAATATATTCATCCAACTTGTTAACTGATCCAGATGCTGACATAAAAATGTCTTTTGTTCCATGAGATTTTTTTCCTTTTTTCTTATTTTTTCTTCATTTTTTCCTTTTTCATCTTCATTACTCTCTCCTTTCTCTTCAATTTTTTCTTCCTTTTTCCCTTCATTTTTTTCTTTTTCCTCCTCCTTGGACAACAATTCATTGAATATATGAAACATAGCGCATCTGGCATTGTTGTGATTGGTAATGTGGGTTCGTTTGATATTGTTGCTATTATTGGCACTGGATCGCCATTTGAGTCTTTTTGAAAGGGTGTTCAGCGCTCTCTATGTAAAACATCAAAAGTAAATATCAATGCATGAACTTTTAATAAAAACTAAACTTTTAGACGTACTTGTACGGCAGTAGAATTTTTTTGTAAATATATTGGGTCTCCATACTCTTCTTTGCCATCTCTGCGATGCATTCCTATATCTAAAGTAAAAAATATTTAAGAAATTTTCTTTCTCTTGTTATTTATAGAATTGGTAAATAAAAATTAGACTCACCATGTCCTGATTCCATGATTGCCTTAGAGGGTAAGGCATAGTTATTATTAAAGTTATTCATACTGCTCATTGTGATTTAAGACGGATGTATATATTAATTAAGTATGTAGTTATGTCAGATGATATATTAAAAGTACAAATTACTCAGTTTATTACTCATTAAATTGATTCTCTTTAAAAAAAAAAAAATTTTTTTTTTGCGTATTTTTAAATTCATGTATGTATAGGTATATATATATTGTTTTTTTATATATGTATAGAATAACTCAAAGGATGACTCATAGCTCAAATGAATTCTCATTATTAAACTCGTGAGAAGAATGTTACACTTTAATAAGATGGATACAATTATCACACACAAAAATTTGCACCCGATGAAAAAAAAGATCAGAACTATCTAAATGTAATGAGTAATATGAGTAATAATCTTTAATTAAATAATTAAATAATATTTAATTGTAATAATGTGATATAAAAGAAACAGTATATGATATAATGTACATATAAGTAATATATGTAATAGTTATTTCAGTGCAGCCATGAAAATCATGTGACTCTGTGAAATATCCGTACCATGAAGCCCTTTAATATATTTATTTTAACTAATAATAATTGATTTTTTATTCCAATATTGATGGACTTTTTACCTAAAATTTTAACTAGATAGGAACCGTGTGATAAAATATAATATAAATGTGATTGTAACATGTATTAACTGATGGTACGATAATCAATTGGTAAAACAATTGTCACATAGAAACACATTGTTTCAATTACTCTAGTTATTATATTAAAGAATTACATCGTACATAATTTTATTTTAAGATTAGTTATAATGCAAAAATCAACTATATAAGTATGACTAATTAGTAGTCAAAAAGATGATCAAATAGATCAAAATGGATTGCTCAGTGAAATGATAACCTTTCACGCGTTCTTTAATCTTCAATAGATAGCAATTAAATCATTATTTCAATTGATATTATGTGAATTCAATTTTTCAAGTTTAGTAATATTTACAGTCTATTATAAAAATTAGATATTTTTCGCACTGGAACTAATGAGTTTGTTTAAATAGAAAATTTTAGTATTATAATGTAATACTAAGTAAATATGATTACAGCAGTTTTTTGTTTATAATTAGGAATTTAATATAGGTAATAATTAAGTTATTAAACAAAAATTATTAATAAAAATCATATATTATATTATAATTATAATATTAAAATAATATAGATTATATTGGGAATTGATATTTTTGATTGGCCAGATTGGCAACATGATCGTGTCATGTTTAGGTTTGAGGTTCGTTTCCTCAGTTCTTTCAATCTCAAGGTATTTTTCTTTTTTACTTTTATTTTATTTCTAACTTACATTCTTACACATTTTATTCAGTTCTAAAATTAATAAAGGTATGTATTTTATTTTTTTATTTATTTTTTTATTTTGTTTCTATTTTATATTTCATTTCTTACTAACTTTACTTTATGGTTTATTTTTTACTTGGTTTCCTATCATTATCTTTTGCTACCCAACCTCTTATCACGATCATTTTTTTTATTATTTGTCTCTCATCATTTTTCACCTCCTCTTACTTCTCATTATTTCATTCTTTTCGTCTCCCATTATTTTCTATTATATCTTTTCATTTTCCATTATTTCTTTTTTTCTCCTGTTTACTTCCCATCATTTCTTTTTTGTTTCTCATACTCCTTTTCGTATCCCATCACCCTTCTTCATCTTTGCAGTTATTTCATTCCCTGTGCAGATCCTCATGGGGTTTTCTGGTGGAACCCAGATAGTAAAAGTTTGAAACACGTTATTGTCAAAAATATTGGTAAACTTATCTGTCCAATCACGAAGGCATTCTACACACAACCTGATCAAGAACCTTCTCAAAAGACTGAGTTTAACATCTACAAGTGGTTTATGGTTAAGAATACTGATGTATGTATTGCAACCTGTGATCCCCATAAACAGCGAATCTTCAGATCCTTAACCGGCCAACTCTATCTAAATATCTTCCCAGGATTTCTCTACGTCTTGCGTCCGATATCCACCTTTGAGTCTACAATTCACCTCGCGGTTAAATTTATCTTCTCTCACATTCAGGATATTTGGTGTTCGGGTGATTGGAATTTCACTGAGTATATCATTAAGTGGTTGGCCGGTGTGGCAGCTGGATAGAAGATGTACTCAATTCTCTACCTAAAATCTGGACAGGGTTGGGGCAAAGGTATTATAACAGATTTTATTCAGCGCAGCGTCCTAGGTACTCAACTCATTTGTAAGACCAGCGATCCTCAGACGATTCTTGGAAGTTTTAATGGGCAATTACAGGGTAAGGTTCTTCTTCTTCACAAGGAAATACCCACAGAAAAAAGCTAGTGGAATTCTCTGTATCGCTCTTTAAAAGATAAAGTAATGAGTGATATAATGGAAATCCACGAAAAATACAAAATACCAACACATTACAAAAACTTTATATCAACTATCGTCTTTACCAACGAAAATGCTCTCAGAGTGGAGAATGACGATAGGCGCACAGTATTCTCAGATGTATCACCATCCCACAAGGGAGACCTTAACTACTTCAAAAAACTCGGTGATGCTATGAAATATCCAGGTGCCAGTAAGGCATTCTATGCTTACTTGAGAGCCATCGCAGACGTTTACCCGAACTTCAATGGAAATCTGCCACCCATGACAACATCCAAACAGGAATATATCATCTCGACTCTTCCACCGCTATTCCAATTTATAAAGGATACATACCTCGTAATGAAAAATTATATGACCGACCTACCTGTTCAAGAATTTTATAGGATATATACTTCATATTGCAAAACTCATTGCATTTCACCCCTATCAAAGATAAATGCTTCTAGAATCCTATCGAATGAATTGGGTATAAATAGCAAAAAAATACGTGTGGGTAAGGCAACACCACGAGTTTACAGCATATCCAGAGAGGACCTTTATAAGAAATACTTCGGCAAAAACTGGATACATGAAACAGATGAGATAGACATAGAAGGAATTGAAATAGAGACTTCTAAGAAACCTGCATCAGACCCCAAAGCTTTGGAGAAGTTCTTGGCAAATATATATAATCCATCTAACAATCCACAAGACATACAAGAGAAATCCGCTAAGAAAAAACTCGAACATGTTATCAAAGAGCAACCAGTTTCCAAAAGGGCTCCTCCACTACTTCCACCAAAGCCTGATCACTTAAAAGAACGTCTACAAGAATTAAGGGAAGAACAACCAGATCCAGATGACAACGACGTCTTAGATGACTTGTTATCTAATTCAGATTCTACAACTGCAGACCCAGTTCCTGAAAAACTGTCTGCCCCCAAGCCAGATGACTATGATGTCTTAGACAACTTATTATCAGACTCGGATTCTACAACCGTGGACCCAGTTCTTGAGCAACAACCCAAGTCACCTGCAGAATCTTCCACAAAATCCGAATCCCTCACAGATTCCAAATCTTCTACAGAACCCAATAGTAGAACCGGCTTCTGAGCAACTTATCCCAGAACCTGACACAGAACTAGAAGTCGATCGGGATCCCGAACCAAAGGAAGGCACTCAAGCACACTGGGCTTGGCATGAAAGACACTGATGAGATCGCAAGTCGTGGATTAAAAATTCAAAGGACTATACTTTTGATAATCTCTATAATACAGGTAAGGAATTATGGGCCAAGTACCAAGATGCGTCAGATGACTATAACTGGGAAATACTCGTGTTTGGAGTAGAGGAATGTCCCACAACGCGTATTGAGGACAAGTATCAGTACTACCTTAGGGAGGTAGTAAACCGCTTCAAGGACTTGATTGAATATAATGAAAACTTATCTAAAACACCTAGCCATAAAGAACTCGCGAATATAATAAGAATATACAAAGAGAATTGTGATGCCAAAATTATCTTTACCTCCTCTGGTTATGAAACTATGAGAGCAAATAAGGGTAAAGCACGAGAAATCCTAGAGGAGTATCCAAAAACTGATATGGAACGCCAGTGAGAAGCTGCCAATGGAATTATCAATGACTGGGACGAAGAGGATACTGAGGGTACTATCAACGACTTATTGTAAGCGCTATTTGAGATTATTTCTTTTTTTCGTATATATATATAGAAAGATATTATTTATAGTTGAAGACAAATCATATACATAAAAATGCAATACTCAAGAATCGCTCGCACTTTACCAACACGACCTGACATCAAGGAACTTCAGTATTCCAGTGCCCGCTTTTCCAGAGGAGCTATCGTCAGATTCGGTCAGACTCTCTAGGCGCGATTTCCAGATAGAAAGTTCCAGATCCTACTTCCCTATGAAAATTAGAAACCCGGTGGATGGACATCAGGAAACCAACCAGCCAGCCTCTTTTCACTATTAGACCATTATGATGAAGTACAACTACCGGATGACGCAGATCCCAATTATTTTGAACAATTCATAATTTATGCGAGAGATAGTCCACCGGCTGCAGGAGGATGCAATGGAGAGCTAAATGATTGCCTGTATAAATGCCTGAAGTATATTTACGGTACATTTTCTAAAATCCCAAAGTCAATCGAAAAACCTAAGTATATCAAAAAGGCATTAGGTCTCAATCGTGATGCTCCCATCCCAGTTTCATGCATGGACAAGGTCGAACAACTCGCAGGAAGTCTTACACTTAACATCATGGGGAATATTACCCGAATCTCTAAGAGTAAGTTCGATAGACGTGCTACTCTCATCCTGTCTGAGGGTCACTACTCCCTCACGTTAAATCCTGGAAGACTCCACCCAGTAAATTAGATAGGAAGCGTAATCTGCCCATTATGTATCATGAAGATGGAATAAAAAATGTAGTCACAATATACAACGGCAAAACAGTTAAGTCTTGCGCGATTGAACAGTTTCAAAAGGGTAAGAATTCCAAGAGTTCCTTTATCTCTGTTGAGAAGAACCATAAAATGGGAATATATGAAACTCTTAAAGAAACATATCAGAGAATCCATGAGGAGCGGGATGTCTTCTTACAGACTATAAAGAAGTTCGGTTTAGGAATCGACTTATCTTATCATAACTGGTCATACAAGAGAACGGCCCTCTGGTTATTTGAGCGGTTAAGTATAGGAGTTCCCGCCAATGATCCTCTTGACCTGATAGAAGCGGAGTGGTTAAGTGATGCAATGATGGGAGGATTAATCTGGGTGAATAATGAGTGGAAGGGCTATGGAAGACAGTACGACGCAACAAGTTTATACCTGAGTATCTAACAATCAAACGCGAACTTTCCAATCAAACGGGGCAAATTCCAGACACTTTCAGACTTTGTTGACTACAGAGGTTATACCTTGTATGGAATATTCCGTGTTAAGGTAAGTGGTAATAACATTCTCTTCTGACAGAATAAGAGAGGAGTCTATACATTTATCGACTTACAACGAGCAAAAAAACTTGGTCTCGATATACAGTTAATACAGGATGGGAAGCCAAATGCATTGATATATGATAGAGAAGTGAGAATACCTGGGACTGTAATATTCGGTGAGTATGTACACTGTAAACGGTCGAATATCAAGCACGAGAAGATGATAAAATTCAATCACCAAATGTAATTGCCAAATATTAAGAACGAACAAATTAATTATGAATTGGCGTAGATGGATAAATAATTAGCCGAAAAGGATAAACATTTAAGAAGAGCAATGATCTACATGATGT